CTGCCCCTTGCTCATCTGTTTGTTCGAGCTACCAAACACCAGAGAAATAACAAATGTAACTTCTCGAGCAGGTAGGATGCTGGGGCCATTTCCCTGGTGGAGTGGGAGAGCTGCCCTAGGCAGGGTAAAGGGAGCCTTGAGGATCCCTGTCCACAAAGAACCAACCAGCCCAATTTGGAAGTTCTCTGCTGGGCAGTTTTGTCTCTAGGTTTTATTTCCTTCTTCTTCCATCTCAGGGATAGCTAATAGGGCAGATAGATCTCTGTAAATTGTATGAACTAGGAACTTGGCAGAGCAAGGTGGCCCAGGCTGGGCAGTTTGTGAAGCACGGTGTCAGGCTGGGGCACCAGGCTTTCGTGCTGCCAGAGGCAGGTATCCTGGGCACAGCCCTGCTGCAGCGGAAGCCTGTTAACCAGCCTGGTGACTCGGAGGGCTCAGATTGAAAAGAGCACTGGCCACCAGGAGTGGATGTGGAACCTTGAACTCTCTAGCCCCTGAGGGAACATCTTTGGGTGAGGAAAGGGACCAAGGATGGGGCCCATGGTGATCCCTGCCATCCACTCTGTGCATGCACACTGAGTTATTGATGCTTAACTCTGCTTCTCTTCAGACCAGGGCTGTTTCCTCCCTGGGCACCATTGCTGTTACCAGGAGTCACATTGCTGTTGTGATGGGGCCTGCTGGCTGGAGCAAGCTGTGGCATTGTGCTGGGGACACAGCCAAGGACTGGAGGAGAGAGTCCTGTCTTCCCACAGCAGACTCCAGCGAAAGAAGTGCCTCTTGGAATTGACAGAAAACTGAAAAGGGGGGGCTACCTGGTTAGCACTCCAGAGACTAGTAGCCGGGTCACAAATGCTCTGGCCCGGAAGAAGACTAAGCAGGAAAAGAAACAAAAAGTCCATGTGCAACCAAAATTATTTTGTTTATTTTTTTTGAGGTGATAGTCACATAAAAATCCAACCATCTCAAAGAATGGTGTTGAGGCTTTCAGAGTAGTAGGAAGGTTCTGAACCTGCCAGGCATCTTCAGGCCCTCCACAAAAAGCCCTAGACTCCTGAAGTGGGTTGGTTCCCAACTACCTTCAGCTGCTTGCTGGACCTGCAGGCTCCCTGCCCTGTGTGTCTCATCTCCAGAGATTCACACATCGTCTGACCTTTCCCCTCTGGCTTGTCTCACTTGGGCATAAGCCATTAAGATTGACACACATGCTATAGGGCACGCCATTCCTTTCATTTGGTGGGTCCTGCTTGATCTGGCTTTTGCCAGTCTATCTGATTCCATTCCCCTCCCCCGGGCCCTCTCAGGCCAACCCACCCAGATCCAAGATGGGTATTGTACTCTAGACTTGTCCAACCTGTTCCCGCTCCAGGGCTTTCGTACACATGGCTTCTCCTTGTCTTTACCATGCTTGGCACCCAGTTTTCTTCTGCCACCAATGGACTCCCATTCCCTTGACTTCATATCACAATAAGAACCTTATTTTTTGTCTTCCTGGAATCTTTTTTCCCCTTTCTCTTTTTTTTTTCTCCCATACTTCTGGTCTGCTTTCCTTGCTGGAATGGAAATTGTGCGGCGGGAGCAAGGGGGGCTCCGTCTTTTCAGGCCCTGGTAGAAACATTGCCTAGTACAACATGGGACCTTGCTTTTAAAACACACAATGAACAAATAACAATTCCTAGCCAGTTGTCTTTGGTAGTCATCAATAGAATGCTGAGGGCTTTGTGGTACTTCAAACAATTTCCAGGAATATCGGTGTACTTTGCTTAATCTCACAAACATGGCCCTGTGTTCTGTACCCAGCATTTTGGGGGGAAGAAACAAAAGAGGGGCTGGAGAGATGGCTCAGCAGTTAAGAGCACATAATATTCTTCCAGAGGACCAGGGTTCAGTTTGCAGGCCATATTGGGCAGCTCACCACCACCTGCGACTCCAGCTCTGACATCCTCTCTGGCCTCTGTAAGCAGGCGCCTGCATTTGTGTAGACATCCTTACACACAGACGTGCACAGAGAAACAAGTATAAATAATAAAATCGGCCTTTAAAGAAGCTACACATGTGTACACACATATATTCAGCATACACGGAGAAGGGAGAGGAAGAGGAGGAAGGAGAAAGAGAAGAAGAAAAGAAACAAATCTCACAGTCCCCAGAAAAGATTCACTACCCTACCCTGCACACCTACCCTGTCTCAGACAAAGCATATTGACTTAGTTCAACGACAGACCAGCAGTGTGTGGAGGACTTGGGTGTGGTCTCTCTTGCCTTTCGTTCCAGGGTTTGGATGGAGGCATGAAAGGCTGCTTCCTGACAGGCTAATCTGATAGCCCCCCGCTAGGGTTGCCTGGGACTAGTTCCCTGCTTGAAGCCTTGCTTAGGGTTTGGCAGTAAGGTTTTCCCATCTATCCCAGAGTGACCTCAGCACCCAGCCTTGTGGAAGGTGACAGTGGCGTCACAACAAAGCAGTTTTCTTGTATTGTTTTGCTTTTCAGTGCTAAGGTCAAACCAAGGCCTCAGGTATACGAGAGAAGTATTCTGTTACCTAACGATATCACTAGCCCTTGAGTCTTACAGGCAGAGTCTCATTAAGAAGCACAAGCTGACTTTAAAGCTCGCTATGTAGGCCTGGTGGGAACCTCAAACTTATAAGCCTCCTGCCTCAAACCCAAAGTGCTAGGATTACAGGTGCTTCCCACCATGGGTATCTGAGGATGAGAATTCTACCCAGGTGAGCGACTCTCCTGGCCCCTAATGTTAAAGACTGCATGGCCTCGGCTCGTGCTAAGGTGTGGGCAACAGGGGCAGAGCCCGAGTGCCTGGCCATGTCACCTGCAGCCACCCCAGCCCCCTCTCTCACCCTGCCGACCCCAGCCACACTCGTGTCTGTTGACCCCGGGGTCAGTGTCTCTCCTTAATGCCTTTCCATTTCTCAGTTTGCTGACTGGAGTGGTTTTCGGTGAAGTCCACATAAATACTTCAAAAAATAATTCACGGTGAAGAAGAACGCTCTGGGATGGATGATGGCATGATGAATTAAACACTTTATATGATGGAGCGTAAATTATTTTAATGCATGTAATAGATCCGACCAGGGAGACTTGGGGCCCTCTAGGTCAGGCTTCCTCACCCTTGGGACCCTGAGGGGTGGTGGGAGCAGGTGGCTGGGAGCCTGCTCGACCGAGGTGTGAATCACCTCCTCTCCAGAGACCCATTCCCCGGCACTCAGGTCCTCCTAACCCGAGGAAGGCATGGGAATGCGTCTGCATTGGTCCAGGAGGAGACGGATGAGCAGCGGGAGAGCATTTGTTAGCTAAGGCGATGGCCTGACCCATACCCTGCAAGTGCACCCATTGTCTGAATTTCTTCAGGGGGTGAGGGATGTCGCTGTGGGGCCTGGGCATTTAAAATATTTTGCTTCCTTTGAAAATGACAAGAGCAAGATGAATGTCCACGCCATCAGGAAGCAAAGGTTCTTGTGTGTTAGGGCCAAAGGAGTACTGTGGGCCCAGCACACACATTCAGGAGAAGGGTGAGCTGAGAAATTAGATAATGTGTGCTTTGTGGGCACCCACACAGACATAAATATGCTTGCTCCTTCTAAGAGCACCATGTATGCTACGGGACAGCATCTAGACTTTAATGTGGTCTTGTTACTACAGAAGTTAAGCCTGTGACCCAAGAGTAAAGGACTTGCTGATTGAAGACTGTGTTACTGACCCCTCAGTCAGGATGTCGTGGTCCAGCACAGCCTGTGCCGACTGGCTGAACAAGCATTTGTTCACTTGACCATGAGAGAGCACAAGATAAGACATGGAATTCAAAGGCTCTTGAACTTCATGATCCTCCTGCCTCAGCCCCACGAATGCTGGGGTTACGGATGTGTGCTACCACACTCAGTTTTGGGAGTGCTTTCCATGGTCATGTAGATCAGGATTGACCTGATAGATATGTTGACGCTAAGGAAATTCTCCATGCCTTAATGTTTAGCTGTCCAAGCGAGACCACACTATCTCTTATGACGTTTCTAGAAAGAAAATCTTCAAAGCATTAACAAGTACACTTGGCACTTCCATGACAAGGCTCTCCAGGCATAGGGGGTCCTTCTGTTCAGCCTAACACTGGACTTGTCCGTAAGGTGCACCCCACCAACACCAACAATGTAAAAGCTGCAGGCTACAAAGGATGCTCTCGAAGACCCCACTCAGTGTCCCCTCCACTCACCTCACCCCTGCCCCACCTCTGCAAGTGCAATGAGATGCTACTCCAAATTTCCATGTCTCTAACAACCCCCCCCAAAAAAAAACTTAAAGAGAGAAAAGATTTTTTTTTAGGTAGAGGTTTCAGAGCTTTCTGCCCAAGGTTGGCTGACGCTGTGTTTCTGGACTTGTAGGGATACAGAGAGGTCATCATGGGGTAGGAACATGACAGAGAAAAGCTATTCAGTGCCAAGGATAAGTTGTCCTTCAAAGGGAGCAGGACTTATGTCTTCTAGCTAGGCCTTGCTTCCAATAGTGCCATTGGTTAGGTCAGGGTCCATTCACTGCTCAGAAATTGGATCCCCAGCTGGGGTTAATACTTAAATGGATAAGCTTAGGTGTAGCATTTCAGATCTAACCCCTAATACAAGGATACCTTCCAGTTATAGCTAGGTTTTTCTGGATGAAGAACCATAAAATCTTGTATTATGCTGCAATTCCTGGGGTTTTTGTGTCCCCATGGCTACCTTCAACCCCAGAAGTTCCTCCAAAGGATTGAGACCTCTAACTGTCACAGTGGCAACTTGTACAGGAAAATACCCAGGACTGTCTCACCATTTCACAGCCCCTGGCTGTGTGTCATTTTCTTAATGAGCTGTCTGACCCCACCCCCCCTTGTTCTGGTTTCACCAATGCCTGTTGTCTTAGTTAGGGTTTCGATTGCTGTGATGAGACACCATGTTCATGACAGCTCTTACAAAGGAAAACATTTACTTGTGGTGACAGCTTATAGTTCAGTGGTTCAGTCCATTACCATCATGGTGGGACATGGCAGTATGCAGGCAGACATAGTGCTGGAGAGGTAGCTGCTACATGTTGATACGCAGGCCACAGGAAGTGGACTGTGACACCGGGAGTAGCTTGAGCATAGGAGACCTCAAAGCCCACCCCGAACAGTGACACACTTTTTCCAACAAGGCCACACTTCCTAATAGTGCCATTTCCTTTGGGGGCCATTTTCTTTCAAACCACACCTGCTGATTGAGGAAACCCAAGTTAAGACAGAAGCAAAATAAACATATGAATATTGCCTGATTGATTGAATGCATGCTTGCATGAATGCAGTCACGGGGGTGGGGTGATGAGAGAACTGTGAAGGCAAATTACACACATTCCATAGTGATTTCCAAGGATTGTCAGACAAGGGAGTGCCATGTCTCCCTCCCAAAATGCAACCTCTCATGCGAGTCCTGTGTCTCCCTGGGCAGTATGAAAGACCTCTGTATTCAGAGGAACAGTCAGAGAGTTCCTGACCTACTGGACGGTATGCCTCCATACGCTGGGCCCCACGCACATCTCTGAGCTTGAAGTCTAAATGAATTTCCCTGATTTATGAAGACGGTGGCTGTAACAGACAGAAAAACTGCCATCCAGGTTCTAGCAAGACAATGGTAATCAGAATCTGTGTTTTGAGCCCAAACCTGTGAAAAACATAAAAAGCCCAGCTAACTGAGATGGATGGGAAAGAATGCAGAGAAGCTGGGCTCAACTGAAGAGAGGATTCAGTACCTCGTCCAGATGGCTCCTTCCCCCCCCCCCCCCCCCCCCCCCCCATTCTGATATGAGGACAGGAACGAACCAAGCACCTGAAGGCAGAAACAGAAGGCTCCCCCAAAGACTGGGCAGAGAATGCCAGACACTTCTGAACACTTCTCCCCAGAACTGGCTGTGAGCGTGGCTAAGAATAGACCCAGGCCAGGATGGCTGAGTCCTCCACGGGTGTTCTGGGGAGCATTCTCCATTGCGCAACACAGCTGCTCTGCCTGGCTGGGTGGGAGGGGCTGAGAGTGTGTTGAAGTCGGAGGCAAAGTACAGTGGCCTGGGCAGTTCCCGAGCATGGGCATGTGTTTCTCAGGAAAATACGAAGTCAAGGTACTCACACAGGCAGCTGCTGGAGAGAGCTCATTTCCTCATTCAGGTGGTTGGTGTTTCCTCTGTCTTCATGTGCCAAATAAAGAACTCGGGTTCTAGGAAGCGTCCTTTTTTATCAGGGCACTGAGGCCGCTTTCTGCAGCTGAGACAGAATACCCAATAAAATCAACTGCAAACAGGAAAGGTCTTTGCTCTCATGGCCAGACACCATGGCCGAGCAACACTGTTCAGTGATGGCAACTAGAAAGCAAGAGAAGGAAACCAAGGACAAGAAGGACATGATCCCGAAGACCTATTCCCTCCAAACAAGCCATCTCCCCAAGCTTCCAGATAGCCCAGCAAATTATACATCTATCAACAGATGACTCCATCCCTGAGTCTTCCACATTAAACACCCACATATGAAAGGCCTGGGGGCCAGCCAATGGGCTTTGAGTGAAGATAATAGATACTGAAGGTTTGACCTCATCAATGGATTAATATTTTGATAGCCTTATAATATGAGGGGGTCTGGTTGGAAGGTATAGATTGCATAGTGGAAAGACACCCGCTGTCCTTGGTCCTTTTCCGTCTGTTTCCAGGTTGCCACGAAATAAGAGTGTTTGCTTTACCGTGATGCCCTGCTTCACCACACCCGAGAAACAATGGAGTCAAGTGTCCATCTATGAAACCTTCTGAAAGCATTGCCCAAAGAGTCTCTAGTTTTGTTGTTGTTGTTGCTGCTATTGTTTGCTTGCTTTTGCAGAGGGGGGCATTCATCACGTCACAGGAAGAAAGGCTGGCCACCAGATGGCCCATGGCTCAGAGCGCCTCTTGTCTACTTGATGTGACTGAGAAACACTAGGAGTTTAGTTAAGCTCACTTCTGTTAGGATGCTTATAGAAAGGACTAACTAAATGAGGATGATGTAGAATGATGGTGGCACTGAGGAGACAAGAGGACATAAAAGGAGGAGAAAGCTAGTCAAGAGAGCATGTGTCTGTTTCCTGGCCGCCACAGTGTGAGCTGCTTTGCTCTGCCATCCCTTCTCCACCCTGATGGATTGACCAACACCTCTGAAACTGTGATCCAACTTCATCTTTCTTCTCTAATAGTTTAGTTTTTCTGGTATATTGCTATGGCAATGAAAGACTAACTTTCTTCCCTTCTACTTCCTAGGGACATCAGGTTGGGTACAGAGGCAAGGATGTTGACATCATCTGTTCCATCTTTAGCTCAGTTTTCAAAGATCTATGAAGAGCCTTCTTGATGCTAGACGTGTGCTCATTCACTGGAGGGGCTCAGTCTCAGGAAAGGGATAGAGAAACATTTCAGGGTCTTGAACCCCATCTCAGAGATCTAGAATGACCCTAGTGACTTGACTGTGTTTTTACCTGGCTCCCTAGTTAGGATCACTCCTCCCTACTCCAGTACAGGGGCCTAAGGGGAGAAGACGGGAAAACCCTTGTCTCTGCTATCACATACGGTCCTCTAGCTGGTGGGATTTAGGAATTGTCACCTCAGGTAGTGTGGACACATTCGTGTCAGAGTGTGGGACAAATATTTGTGTCTCCTTGGGAGGCCCCTTCTTGCCAACACCTCTTCTGAGAAACTTCTTCCCCGGGCTGTTCTCCCTTCCCCTCCATCTTTCAGAAATCCAATTTTACAAGCTGTTGGTCTTGAGTGTGGATGCTTGCATTTTATTAATTTGGAAAAATAATATTTTTAATGACCCTTGGAGTTAGTTCTTCACCCATTGTGGCCACTGCTGCATCCCAAAGCCCTTCGTTTCTGTTCCCTTTATTGTCAGGAGCACGAAGAGCCTGCTGTGGGCAGTGTGTGTCTGTTGAGCTTCTGCCATTAAACACCGTGGCCCTTTCCTTTGCTTGTCATCCTGAGCTAGACCGTGGCATTCATGCCTCTGGGGAGTCATCTCTGGACAGGATATAGCACTTTCGATGACACCGAGGAAATACCTGCTTCAGGCAGAAGACTGGCCAACCTCCTTGCTAGAGTTTCTGCAAAGGCCCACAGTCACGATGGAAACACATGCCCTCACCCCACTGTCTTCTCTCTCCCTTTAGTAAACAAGGCTCCAGTCTGCAGTAGCTAAGTTTGTGATCCTGGAGGGTGTCCCTCTGCCTGCCTAAGGAATGGGTCTCAATGCCCAAGGCAGGACAACGGAACTCTTCAGCGGTGTGCCTCCAATCTCCTGCCCCTCATGGCTGATTTTAATATGGCCTGCTGTCCAGTCAACATCTCAAGGTCATGTCCCTGCTTTCACACTCTGCTGTTCCTGGAAGCCTTTAATCTTTTTTTCCGGAAGTTCCCATTGGCTCCAGTACGCGCTAGTGGTCTCCTCTCTGGACATTCCCAGAACTGACTCAGCAAATGATGACAGCCTTAGGACACACCTGTCTCCTTGGCCTGGCGGGGTCTGGGACAAGGCTCTTGATTCTCTCCTGTGCATTCTCAGAATACCCACAGGAGTGGAATCAGAATTCTTACTATGAAGCTGACTAAGGACCCCAAAGTAGGCCACTGGCTCCTGTGTTTCTGTGAATTTGGTTGAGTTGGGAGTTCAGAAGAGCAGGAGGATCAAATAAACCCATTCCTAGACATGGTTTGCCCTGCGTAACAACTATGGACCATGGGGTGCTGACTGCCCACTGGCCACCAGTGTCTAAAACCCCTTTCCCACTGATGGAAACATCATTTACTCCAAGGCTCCCTTTAATAGACCCTTGGAGTCTCAAACCAGCCTTGTGTGAGACTAACAGAATATGCTATGCTTATGAACTTTTCTTCTGAGATAGCACCTCCCTATGTAGCCCAGGCTGACCTTGAACTTGCAACCCCCCTGCCTCATCTTACTGAGTGTGGGGATTGCAGCCATGCACTTGCACCGGCCACCAGCAACAATTGTCAGCAAAATGCTGGCTATTTTCGTGTACTCCTTTCAAGCCTGATTGGTTTAGGACCGCATCGTAATTCTAAGGGCCTCTTCCAAAGATGGCGGCACTAAACAGATCGCATAATTGAAAACAGAAATCACAGCGCCTGGACGTTAAGTGGCTGTTTCTTTTTCACACAATGGTCACTGAATGACCAGCCCTTCTTTTGCTTCCGCATGCAGCTTTTCTGTTTCTCCCACCAAGTGTGTCTCTAAGCCTCGGGAATGATTTCTTTTGTCTCTCTGACCCCCGTCTGAATAGGCACGACCTTGACCAGGGGTTAATTTCTCTCATCTCTGACATAGAGTGACATGTGGGGCTGTGCCTTGGGGAGCAATGCATGGGTGTGGCACATCGAGGGGTCACGGACCTGGCTTGGCAACCCCGTGCGCACTCACCATGTGTTTGCTTGCGATTCCATATGTGTGTGCCGGGAGCAGTGATAACGGATGGACTCGGCCTTTCGGCTCACTGCAGTCTTCCTCCGAAGTAGATCATTATTCCCTATGGAATAAATAGCGTTATCGGGCTGATATGCTTACGGCTAATGAGCCCATGTCTAGCATCTGAGAAGCCAGATAACAAGACATGTTTTTCTCCATTGGCTTCTATTGATGTATTAATTAATGAAATCCAAGATTCCCCTTTGAGCTGGAGGAGTGTTTAAATCACTCTCGAGCTGTGCCCAGTGCGGCTCCCCTCTTACTGCCGGATGCTGCGCAAGGCTGGGGTCAGCACTCCGATCCTCCTACTGCTGGCCTGGCCCAGGCTTCACGAGGCCCCCTCCGAACACCCTGCAAGGGTCATTTCTGTCCCATCTTTACACCACACTGTGGCTGGTAGACCCCTCCACCACTCCTTTCTTCATGGTTGGCCATGGAGGACTTGCTTGGATAGCCTGTGGGTCCAGGTCTGACTTTACCCAGACCACACGCTCTGTGATTTCTGTTTCAGAGGTGGCGTAGGGTATGACTGTCCATCAAATTCTTTCTTTCAATAAACGGAGATGTGCAAGGATTTAGGGCTTAGGCTGCTGTTTTGTTTGTTTAGCGCGATCAATGGGCCACAAGGGCTGGCATTGCTCATGCTGGGACTCCAAGGACCCAGAGCTTAGGAAGCTTCCTGAAATTCTCTGGGCTTCAACTCTCTGTGAAACGGAGATGGTACTATGCAATCTAAAGTGAGTTTGTGATAGCCGCAGGAACTAGCGTGTGACGTTGTCCTGAGAACCCAGAATCGCCCTGCTTATAATTCACTGCAGAGATAAATCTATTAACTATACAATGATAAGATTGATGCAAAGAGTTTCACTTTTTCTGACACCACCAGCAATAGGATATCACGGAGGGCGCTGCTCCAACATTTAAATCAAATCTGTGATACTCAGTATATCTTCCATATAAGAAGAGAAGGGTGCTGGGTGGTGGCGGCTCAGGCCTTTCCAGCACCAAGGAGGCAGAAGCAGGCATATCTCTGAGTAAGGTCATCCTGTTCTACAGAGAGAGTTCCAGGATAGCCAGGAATACACAGATAAACCATGTCTCAAAAAAAAAAAATCAAAAAATAAAAAAGAGAGAAAGAAAGAAAAAGAGAGGGGCAGTTTAAGGGGAAGAAGAATAGTGAGTGTAGTAACTTGTCCATCTTCAGCAACCTTGATGAAGCCATTTTTTTTTTTGTTTCTTGTCACCCAGAAGTAACCCAGAACTTCCTGGATTCTATGAGAAACACTGTATGCCAATTATATAAACATAGGTAGCCAGGCTTCATATACCTCTTACATCACCATGTGTCCCGGCACCCCAAATGTAATGACAGGCTCCCAGATTCCATACAAAACCAGGCACCCCACACTCCTTATGCAACCATGAATCCTATATCCTATAGGTTACCAGATAGCCCTACCCCACCCCCTAAAATCAGATCCAAACTCACAAATTAAGTGCGATTTTCTTTGTGCTGTTCTATATGGACGTTTTAAGAATGTTAATGTCACCTTCCGGCCCAAAGGAAAAAGGCAGCCTCAGACTGTCTCACTCTGTGGCCCACTCAAACTTAGCTTTGTGGCTAAGAAGAAGAGGGTCTCCGAGAAGCATGCCGAGGTATTGTTTCACTGGTCTGTAATTGTATAGTAATTTCTCCCCGTAATGTCAAGTGCATGCCTCAGTCACTGGCCTTGCCTAGCCGCCCTCTGATGTCACTATTGACTATGGTGCTCAGTGGACACTCGATGGCCTTGGCCACATACCCCCTGCCTATGACGTCTGACATTCTGACATGCAGCCCACGCCCCTGTTCATTGCCAGGACCCTGAAACTGTCACACTCCCTTCTCACCCCCACTCACGGTTCACACCCCCCACACCTACCCAATGGTTTGTAAAGCAGACTAGACTCTATTTAGAATCAATAGCCACTTAGAATTGAAATCTGAGCTGAACTATAAACCATAAAAACCCCTGATTATTTCATTAGTAATTTGCTAATTGGCATTAGATATTTAATTACACATTCCAAATATTTGATGAATTATTTCAGCTCGACATAGAGAGCCTCGGATGGGGACTTTATCTTTTCAGGAAGCAGAGAGCCCAGAGGGGGGAACATGCAGGAAGCGTTCCTGTCTAGCGTCTATGTGTGGCTAAAGTCTGAACAGTGGTGGAGGGGCTTGCCACGGCTTTGAATGTGCCCACCCAGCCGGTTGATAAGACTGCCTTGGATCCAGGGGCCTGAGTTCCTTCCTCTCCCAGGGCTTTGTTCATCCTCGGCACAGCTTTGCGCCCCGCTTCTCTTTTGGAGACATTATCTTTTCTGCTTTGATCTGCTTCCCACAACATAAGGTGATCCCTCCCCCTCTCCTTTTTATCCTCGGATGATGGGCTGTTTTCTGACGTGAGTGAAAAGGAACCAGCCCCTGGCCCCTCATCACTCACCCTCGGCCTGTCCCTTGTCCTCTCCGTTCACCTCTCGGCAGCAGGTCCTGTCTACATTGGACACCAGATGGCCCCCACAACCTTCTTAGAATGGATTTGCATTAGATAATGCTCTCGCCGTGTCTGGCTCCCTCCCTTAAGGTGTGGGAGCTGTTTCTCTAGAAAGAAAAAAAAAATGATAATTTCAAGCACAAGTAAAAAAAAAAAAAGCACAAATGTTCATTTCTGTTTCTTCTGGGATCCTTCTGAGGATAAGTGGGCACCAGATCCACACACCCCACCCCCCCAAACATGCCCTGTTTCTTGTCTGCGCTTGATTCCCTGCTCTCCTGGACACCATCCTCGTTGGCCAAAGTCTCTTTGGATAATTCCCAATGGTCCAGACATGTGTCTGAGGCCAGGTGTTTGTTCTCAGTCAGCAGACAGTGTCCTCTCAGCTTCTTGTGTGAACTGAGAGCTGAATTGGGCCCGGAAGGCAGTTTCGTGGTGACTCGCACGGTGCGTGCTTGGTCAGTCTAGGGCTAGGCCAAAGGCAGCATGCCACGTATTTCTCCCCAATTCTCACATGGGAGCCCCCACTATTCTCTAACAGATTGTGACAAGCCATATGTGGAGCTGCTAGTGACCATTCCAGGGGCATCCAGAGAGGACGAATGGGTAATATAGAGGAGCAAGCTACATCCAAGCCATGGACATGCAGTACCCATCAGAAGGAAGAAATCTGTTCTTAAAGGGCCAGCGCTGCTCAGTGCAGAAGAGCCAGGTGGGCCCCCACCTTCTCCTGCTCCAGTTCTAAGATGCAGAAAGGGGCACTATTAGAAACTAGATTAAGATCCCCCAAAGGTCCTTTTTTGGAAGAAGCCAGTGGGTGCTTTCCTTAGACAGGCTCGTCGAGACATCATCCATGCTGAATGACTCAAACGAGATCTGAAGGACAAAGCCCATTACTTCTCTGTCCACACGGAGAATCTGAGGCCCGGTGCTCATCCCGGTTTTGTTTCTAACTACATCTTCAGACCGTCACTACCTTCTTAGGTTGCTCATCTATAACACAAAGTCAGCGCACCCCGTTCAGCTCACTGATGAAGGGGACCCCCTGCAAACATGGTCTGCAAAAGGGACTCACACCAGATCCCAAGAGGTGGAGAAGGAGGGTTGGCTCCTGATCCGCAACCTTTTCGCTCCTTATCTGCGTTCTGAGCTTTAAAACGTACCTGTATTCTAACCAGATTGTATAAATACATGGGCCAGTTTTTATGAGAAGCTGCCTCAAATCCCCTTGGAAGTGGTATGGGCATAAAATAGAAACCAATAAAGCAATGTTTTCGGTAGAAATCTGGCCGCAAGATCAGCACAGAGGAAGGCTTGTGCTCCCGCTGCACAGGGGGCCACTTGGAAATCATTGTGCACCCACAAGCATTAAGGTGCAACTAGGAGGCGCCAGGGCATGTCCCCACAGCTGAGGCCAAAGCAGGCCTTCCTCTCTGTCCCGGCTTTGTCTACACCACCATCCTAGACGCCACCCTCCACCCCCACCCAGGCATTCTCCCCTTGCTCTCTCTTTTTGGGGGCAATTTACCATTTGCACCTCCTTCGGCCCCTTGGAAGCCTCAGTTCTTCACAGCTCCAGATCAATGTCTAACAACTGAAGAGAAGAGAAAATCCCATCGTTTAATTGGAAACAAAGCTGGGACCGAAGAAAGAGTTTTATCACCCGGGTAAATCTCCAAGTCAAGGTGTGACAGGCCTGATTAACCGATTAAGCCGATTCACTTCCCCTGGCTTCCTCCTTCATATTCCGCTTTCCCGGGCTCTGTGGGACCAACAGCAGGGGCATGTCTTTCTGGCTCTTCAACAGACTGTGTTTCCCCTCTTCCTACTGATCCTGCCTCTCCCCTGCGGCACTTGGTACCCGGGGAATGTTGCTGCCACTTACAGTCTGTACTTTTGCTCCTTCCTCTCTGGGGACAGTTGGTTCCCTGGTCAGCATCACATCACCTGAACTGAATGCATCCGGGTTTGGCCTGCAGTTTAAGTCTGAGCACAGAGACCAGGTGTTCTCTGGATATTTTGTTTCCCTGCGATGTGTTGACTTATTTGGGCAGTACTTGGGACTGAACCTAGAGTCTTACAAACTAAATAATCACTTCTGTTGCCTACACCCCCAGTCCCACTGTTTGGCTTTAGAAAGAAAGGAGAGAAGAAATTAATTGCAGCTGAATATTTTTGTGAGCTGGCGAGAGAGCCTCTTGGATCTATGGATGCCAGGGACTGCCCTCAGCTACATGTCCGGAATCACCATTTCTGGTTCACAATCCAGAATGACCCTGAAACGGTGTGTCAGGCAGAGGTAGGGTAAAGGTGCTTCTGCACGGGGCAGGGCCAGCCTATGGCCTTGGGGCTGGTGTCCCATGGACAAAACAGTGGTGGCAATGGCACTGATGAGGCTAAGGGGAGTCCCTAAGCTGTGGCCTCAGGCAGATACCATCTGTCTTACTTAGAGTTACGATGCTAAAACACCATGATCAAAAACAACTCTGGAGGAAGGGGCTCATTCCACTCACAGTTCCATATAACAGGTTCAGCATCAAAAGCCGTGAGGGCAGGAACTCACACAGGGCAGGAACCTCAAGGCAGGAGCTGATGCTGAGGCCATGGAGGGGTGCTGCTTACTGGCTTGTCCAGCTGCTTTCTGACAAAAGCCCGAACCACCCACAATGGATTGGGCCCTGCCATATCCATCACTAACTAAGAAAATGCCTGGAAGGCAGTCTTGCCTATAGTCAGATCTTATGGAGACATTTTCTCAGTTGAGGCTCCCTCTACTCTGATGACTCTGGCTTGTGTCAAGTTGATAGAAAACTAGCCAGGATACCACCCAAACAGACTTTACCTGTGGGTGTTAGCATCTTTGCACCTGGGAGGTCTGGGCTTGCAGAGTGCTCTTCCACTCTGGAGACCAGCCCCTGGAGATTAGGGAGACTCTGAAAGGCAGCTGTATTGAGAGAGGTCATGAAAGGAGGTTAAGATCCCCAGGAAGGAAGTTTCCGGAAAGGAGTGGAATTCATCTGAGAGAGGCCATGATTGCCTTTGCCCTGAACATTTGGGGACTCCATAAGCTCTCCTTTCCATTTTAGATGCTGTGCCATGAGACGCTGTCCTCACCACTTGCCTGCACCATCAACCCTGACATCCTGGCTGCCTCAGCAAAGCCTGAGAGTGAGTGTGCTCCAGTGGCGACAGCTTCCCTACATGGCCAGAAAGCGAGCTGACTCACAGTGGAAGCCAGGCAGAAATAAAGACTCTAGAAGGCCTTAAAGTTCCGCTGGCCAAGAAGTTGGAGTCCGAAGTCCTGAGATCTAGCAAAAGCATTCACCCAGGGCTAGAAGATGGCTTGAGGTGGATTCTAACTTAGGCTTTGGGTCATTTTAAGTCAGAGTGGTGGGGGAAAGGCCTGGGTCTTATGGCTATGGGGTACTTACACAAGTTTGACTTGAATGGGGGGAATCAAAATTCTAGAATTGTTTTAAACAAAACCTTTCATTAACTCTGAGTATTCTCAGTACCAATGCTAATGGCCGGGAAGTACGGACAAGTGGGTGTCCTGCTGGTCCTGCGGCTCCTGAAGAACCTGGGGCCATTGATGACTAGTGTGGAAACTATCAGCAACCTGAGGGGGGGCCTGTTACACTTGAAAAGTAATTGTCTTAAAAGGTTCTGAAATGATGCCCCATGGTGTCAGCTCACCGTATCCTTGCTCAGCACATCTACGTATATCGACAGAACAAACCAGAGAGTGTCTGACTTGTGACCAAACTTCTATGTATTACATAATGAAAGCAAATTAGGAAAGGATGCTGTACTGGGAATTTGATCCCTTAGATTCTAAGGCCCAGAAGGGTGTGCTTGGTCCACCCCAGTCAAAGAGTACAAGAGATGAAACAGCTATTGCCTCCAGCGAGTCTCAGATGGATTCTGTCTCGGAAAGAACATGACCTGGAAGCGTAGAAAAATTCTTTGGTGTGATGGGTAACACAGGGTTTCTCAATCATGTCAATGGAAACTTTGTGCCTGATGATTCTGCCATGGAGACTGTCCCATGTGTGACAAGATAGTTACCAGCATCCTCATCCTGTGCCCATGGGTTGTAGTAGCAGTGAACCAGCAATGCCTTTGGATGCTAACTGAGCATCCAGTCAGGGACTGTATTTGGCCTTCCTTGAAAATCACTGATCTGGTGACATTAACTCAGCTAGAATTTGCCTGTGGTTGTGTAAGAAAAGTCTCTAAGACTGGAGTGTGCATAAGTATGTGCGTGTGTTTACCTGTGTGGGTGGGTGTAATCTCTGGTCTCATGTAAATGCTTGCCAGAAGTTTATTTTGGGTATTGTCTTAGTTCGCTTCTCTATTGCTGTGATAAAATGGTGATCAAAGTCATCTTGGGAAGGAAAGGGTTTATTTGACTAACATGTCCAGGTTTCCGTCCATCATCGAGGGAAGCAGGACAGGAAACCAAGTAAAGATCTTGCAGTAGAAATCGTGGAGGAATGTTGTTTGCTCGATTGTGCCCTTTGGCTTGTTCTTCTACATTTCTTATACAATGCAGGTCCAGCTGCCTAGGAACGGCACCGCCTGCGGTGGACCGGACCCTGCTACAACCATTAGCAATTAAGAAAGGCCCCATGGGCGTGGACATAGGTCAGTCTGATGGAGGTAATCCTTCAACTAGGGTTCCTCTTTCCAAGTGTCTAATTTGTAGTAAGTTGACAAAAGCAGCCATGATGGGTGTCTTCCTCAACTGCGCTCAATCTTATTATTATTTAGATAGGGTCTCTTATTGAACCCAGAATTTACCAATTCAGGCAGAAAGCTACTTAAAAGATTCTAGCCATCTGTTCAGTGAAACCATAGAGGCCTTCTGTCTCCCATCCCCTGACCCTCGCCTCGGTGCTAGGTTTCAGACCCTGACCACCACACCTTACTTTCCGTGTATGCTAATCATTGAATCCAGTTCCTTATTCGCGTACAGCAAGCATTTTACCCTCGGAGCCATCTTCCCAGTCTCGTGTTTTGAATGCTTGGGTCCCCAGCTGGTGGCACTGTCTTAAAA